TGCTTTTTGTGCAGTTTGATATCTAAGTTTGACTTTTACCAACATACAACATGTTTTTTGCATATTTTGTTTCAATTGGTGTAGGGGGATTCCCGCCAATACACCTTGATATAAAATTGGATCAAAATCTATTAATTCTTTCCTAAGTCCGCAGCTACCAAGCTGGGCATGTGCGAAACTGTTACACCTTCGCTGTGACCTTTAAAATGACCTCAAGGTCACTAAATTCAAGTGGTGTCGGTAAATCTCCAATCTCCAGTCAATAAACCTTGGTACCAAATTTGAACAAAATCCATCATTTCTTTCTCGAGTTCTTTCAGTAAACCGAAGGGGGAGTCATTTGAACAAGCGATTGTAGTTTCAAATTGCCTTTTTGTGCAGTTTAATATCTAAGTTTGATTCTAGCCGACCTCTACCAATCTCAAACATACAAAAATGTTTCGTGTATATTTTGTTTCCTGAAGTTTAATTTGTGATACATGGCATTGCTAGTCAGCTAGGCTATTCCATTTGTCCGAACCACAACATACGGAGACAGATCATTTAGCAGAACGGGTGCTGTATTCTGGAATTGATTACCTCAAAATGTCAGAAAATCGGAAAATATCAACAGTTTCCGATCTTGTCTCAAAACCATCCTCTTCAAACGAACATTCGACTAAGCGCACATGAGCAGGACTCTGGATATGTAGCGCTATACAGTTGTCTTATTTGATTTGATTTGATTTGATATACCCGTTAGAAACCCACCCCCACCCCACCCCACTTTATATTTATACATATCCAAACCTCAAAAGATATTTGCGAAAAGACATGATACAGAGGACAGTTTATATCGATTATATATCAGGACGAATATCATTTTCGTCATTTAGCTAAGATTTGTCAATTCACTCTTGGGTTATCGCGCTAACAATCTTTATATTGGCAAAACCCTCAGATTTTTGCTGTGACCTTGAAAATTATCTCAAGGTCACTCCATTTCACTTGTGTCGGTGAATCTCGCCAATATACCTTGGTACCAAATTTGAACAAAATCCATCATTTCTTTCGTGAGTTATCGCCCTAACAAGCTTATTTGATGTATGAAATGCAACGAAAAACAAACACCCGCGTATTTACGAGTGATTAAGACTGTTATTACAATTTACGTAAATATTTATTACATTTTACCGCAACGTAAATTATTACAATTTACGTCAATTTTTATTGCCATTTGCGTATTACAATTTACGTCAAGTTTTATTACAATTTACGTTTTTATTACAATTTACGTCAAGTTTACAGTCACTGACAAAATGTGCAGTGAGTGGTTATTCGTTTAACGTAGCTCTGTACGTAACTTTATGTACACCACAGTGCGTCACCTGAAGTGATGCTGGCCTTAGACGTGCACCATTTTGTTGGAACCAGAGACCATATACCGATGGTAGTACCCAGGATAATTACGTCGGTTAGGGACCGTTCATAATTTATGGCTAGTGGAGGTGATGATGATATTAAGGGGGGCACCCATTTTGTTCTGGGGAGCTAGAGGGGGTCAGCAATTTTGTACACACGTACTAGGCAATTTTGTACATAAATATATGTTTCAAATTATGTTTAGAAATTATGGGAAGGGGAAGGGGGTCATTCAGTTTGTACATGACATGCAAGGGGGTTCACTTATTTTGTACATAAATTTTAGGGGTGGGGGGGTCATTCACATTGTACATGCTTCTCCATAAAAATCATCACCATCCCCCCTAGCCATAAATTATGAACGGTCCCTTATGACAAACCGAGACACTTATCCTGCAGCATTAGAGTGAGTGAGTGAGTTGGGTTTTACGCCGCTTTTACCAACATTCCAGCAATATCGCGGAGGGGAACACCAAAATTAGGCTTCACACATTATACCCATGTGGGGAATCGATCCCCGGTCTTCAGCGTGACGAGCGAACGCCTTAACCACTAGGCTACATCAGCGCCCTCAGCATTAGAGCCTTGGTCTTAAATGTAACTGTAATGAATCATTACACAAGATGCAGCCAACTTCCATTAATAAATACCACCATCTAACATAGGTGTTTACTTTATGCCAGTCAGTTCACGTCAATATTGAACACATGCAAACATAAAAGAGACACGTTTGATAAGTCACTTGTTCTGTATTTACCATGTGGAAATGATTAATGATTTCATGGATCAGAAAAGTTTTTAACAACGCTAATCAAATATCAAAGTGTAACATTATTTACGATCGAGATAAATCGCGATCTTCAAGGCACGTGTCATCCGACAAACTTCAAGCTATTGTTAACGCTGTAAACAAGAAGGGAATACAATTAACGTGAATAATGAATGTAAATAGTTTGTACTGAAGGAAGTGACAAGAAGGTACAGTCTGCACTGACCATCATCCTGAACTTCAGGGACAGGGGGTGTGGAGTAGCCTAGTTATTAGCAGCGTTGGCTCATTAAGCCAAAGACCAGGGTTCGATCCGTTTGTCACCTTGTACAGACAGTATCAGCTGACAAGGCTCAGTTCCAAGCAGGAGTTCCTTATAAGACTTTGATGATGTTTGATGAGGCAGTGTTTACGGTGCTTGCTCATCATCACTTATGGGGCGGTGGGGTAGCCTAGTGGTTAAAGCATTCGCTCATCATGCCGAAGACCCGGGTTCGATTCCCCAGATCGGTACAATGTGTGAAACCCATTCGTGTTGTCCCCCGCTGTGATAGTGCTAGAATATTGCCAAAAGCGGCGTAAAACCACTCTCATTCACAAATAACAAATACAATGTTTCAAGGGGGCTATCACAAACTTTATGACAATCAACAAATACTATATTCAGATTGTTGTTTATCTACAATGCAAGAATTCAGCCCTACTTCTGATTGTGCTGAGGTTACACTGAATGTCGTTAATGAGACCATTAGGCTCCAAGCACCAAATAATTGATCATGTGTTCAATAGTTTTGCAATCACAGCTGCCTGGTGACATAGGATGTAAAATGAATTGTCGTGCGAATTAAGAGTTTGTAAGCTCAGGCCGAGATTATACATTGATTGCTGCGAACAGCCGGAAAATAGGTACACTATATGAGAGTTGGGCAAATGTGGATGGATGCTGTGCTTCATACAAAGTCTCAGCAAGGTTAGATTAAATCTTCTAAAAATGTTGATCGATCTGACAGCCTGGACAGTGTGACATGATCATTTATTATCTAAAATGGTTATCGATCGCGGGTGGCTCATCGGAGATATCGATTCAAGGAATTTGCGCCACGATGCTTTTGTTAACGACAATAGAGATTTAACAAATGGCATCACAAAACTCCCGGTCGCTGAACATGGTTTGATCTACGTTTCACCAACAAATATCACGGAAGAGGAAATGATTGTTAGTTGTAGCAAAAACATTAGCAATATATTCACCCCTGCAAGACTATAACATTCAACGCCTCGGGGAAATGATACATGGAGAACAATATGTATGCTTTAGTCTATAGGTACCTCACAGCCTGACGTTGCTCGTCGATTCATCATCAACATAAAGGGGAAGTGGGGTAGCCCAGTGGCTAAAGCGTTCGCTCGTCACGCCGAGGGCTCGGGTTCGATTCCCCCATGGGTACAGTGTGTGAAGCCCATTTCTGGTGTCCCCCGCCGTGATATTGCTGGAATATTGGTAAAAGCGGCGTAAAACTAGACTCACTGGAATCCTGAAACAGATCTGATGATACCAAAACGTATATACGTCTTTGGGTGATGCAAGAATCACACGACTTCTATCAAGTAGCATTTAAACACACCCTTATCACCAGCACTCCTTCTTTCGATTATATCATGCGTATAATTTAGAACAACAACAACTTATAAAGACAAACACTCGCACAGACAGAAATAGGAGTGGGTAAAGTATATGGTTATGGGGCATTTCGAGGAACTATATTATGTCAATATGTAATTACTTTCTGCTGTATTAACATGTCACGATTTGACAAAACGGGAGCTCCATCGATTTGATAATATGTTCTAAATCGTGTTTATCGAGGAAAATGTTTCATGTTTGCAGTAAATTAGTGCGAATCCATTATCCGATTGTCTGGTTTGGCGAATCGACCTTAATATCAAAACCTTTGCTATGTAAAGATTGACTGTATAAATTTTTGGGGTTCATTGGGAAAAATCGAAAATCTTAAGTGCAAATTTGTGGTAGGCCTGTCAGTCTCTGCAGGAGGCAAGAAGAACCACATCTGCCAGGAATCGGATCAAGTATGAGAGAAGATTATTACTTAAACCCACATAGCATATACCAGATTCAACAAATAGCTCGGTGAAACTGTAAGACACAGCTAGAAAAATACGAGTTAGACGTTAAGCCAGAAGACATCAAATGTGTGGAACTAGGCAAGCGAACCTGCACCTTTGGTAGCATATTTCATTCCCTCTCGGTATTCGACCTTGAAGCGGTGGGCGTTATCTCATTCTGTGGCCGTGGCTAACTTTTGTACATTTATTTTGAAATGAATACAATAACAAACGTGACGAGTGAGTGAGTATGGTTTTACGCCGCATTTAGCAATATTCCGGCAACATCACGGCGGGGGACACCAGAAATGGGCTTCACACACTGTACCTATGTCAATAATCGAAAACGGGTCTTCGGCGTGACGAGCGAACGCTATAACCACTGGGCTACCCCACCTCCCCACAAACGTGACGAAATCAGTCAATCCGAATATAGGTAAGTGCCCAAAATAGAATGTAACTTTATATACAATGCAGAATCTGGTCATTCGAAGTATGACGTCATTGTATGCGTCATTTCCATATACTTACATGCTAATATTGGTTATCCATAGTTAACGTGGGTTTTACCTTGGTAAACACGGGCGGTCCGGGCTTTGAAATCGACTGCTAGAGCAGTACACGGTCGTAACCAGCTATATTTAACGAGCGCTTCGATTAATATAATAATAGATTAGAGTTGTCTTTCTTGAATAGCTCTCGGGCACGGGACTTACAAAATGGCTGGTTGGGAAGGACGCCACTTTGCAAAATTGGCCACGATTATATTGATCTTTATACTCCAAATATCTGGTATGTCACATGATATCCACACATGTAATGTATAAATGTTGTTTATGAACAATGATATGTAATACAACCATAATCAATGGAACAAAAATCGATACATCTTTATGTTTTATGTAAACAAACTGGAACAATGTGTCGTTTTTGTTTTGGATGTATTGTAAGAATTACCATTCTGATTTTTAATGTATTTGTATGCACGGAATAAAATGTGTCATTTACCATGATATGTAGATATATTTCATAAGTTAATCTGATGTTGTGCAGCTATTTTCACATGTGAAAAGATGTTAAAAAAGGTGCCGCCTAATCTACGATCATTCTTTTACTTTAACCCAAAGATATCAATGGATGTGCCATGGAAAGACACAATTGTTCTGCACTATTTTATACAGCACACAAGCCCCTCTTCAAGGACTTTCCCTCACATGTGTTGCTCCGACACATATCTGTGTCAAGACATCTTCCAGTCTGTGTCCTCTTCCGTAAACAAGGTAATACAAAAATAAAAATAATTTATTATTATCATCACACATTTTCCACATAATCTTTCAATAATTTATAGTGTAAATGCACATATTTACAATGATTTAACCTCTTTTTGCATATATATTAAATTGTAGATACCGGGGTAAAATTTAGCTCAGTTAATGAAACATCTTGAACTTCGAATACATGGTTAGGTTTAAGTGCATGATAAAACTGAAATTCAAAATGAATTGTTAGTAAATATGTGCACAAGATAAATTCTGTGAATGGAAATGATACAGAAAGTTTTTGTTTTCAGAAAGTGGATCAAATCTGGAAAATATTTTATTCAACTTGTGGAAGGACAAAGATATATTTCACAGTTTATCATCATGGGAGATTGGATCATTTACAGTCAACAAGGTACTGTTTATTTTTTGCTGTTAATAAATGATTTTAACTTGAAGTGCTTTTATGATAAATTGATATTCTAGAGACATTCACTTTTTCAAATATGATTAGCTTGTCCTCTGGACTAGTCTTAAAAACAGTGTATTTCTAACTCTGCATTCTCTCAACATTAAAAAAATATAGAGAACGATTCATTTTCTCAGCGATAGCTGGGTCCATAATACGCTGAATAAGTGCCTCCCTGTTTTAACTTAAATTTAAGAATATGTTATATTTTTGTGGTAATAATATAATAAATGTATGTATCCTCAAAGATTTACTGCAATGTCTGTGGCACAGATGGCCTGGTGTTTTACTGCATGCAGGATCCATAGATCTCAGATTTGATCCAGTCATGATCCTCGTTCACTCAGCTTCCAACCATTGCTTATATTTCACTAAAGCAGCATCTGAGCCTTGAGCTTTTTGTGAGACAGAAATGTGTGCCCTGAAGACCAGTAAATGCAGAAAGAATATATTTCATCCAATGAGACATGCAATAATATTCATTGTGGCTAATTCTTGAGAGGAAATAAAAAGGTACTGTATTTAAGGTATTTTTACAGTACAAAACACTACTTCATTTCATAACTTTACAGGACACTGATATCTCTATTAGGACAATAGAAATAAATTATCGGTCTCCCCTGGAACCTGAGTTGGTAGGTCAGGGTAAAACTATAAAGGCCTGTTTCAGTTGAGACTTCCCCCTTTCCAGACATTGACATAAGCTGTGTCTGAAATACTGATGAAAGTGCCATTACACCAGCTCAGTCACTGTATACATTGGTAATGTGTTGCTGACAGAGAACAACAAACAGATAAACAACTGATCATATGAGGTATTTGGGATTACACTTTCTTAGTAGAGTACAGATTCTAGTACTTCTGAAGTCGCTGTGGCTGAGTAAAGTACAGATTCTAGTACTTCTGAAGTCGCTGTGGCTGAGCGGGTTAGGACGGCTGACTTTAGGTGCCTCAGACACTGACGGTGTGGGTTCGAATCCTGAATGGGACTCAACCCAACAAAAGTACAAGAATCTGTACTTTACTAAGAAAATGTTATCCCAAATATAACATACATTACATTTGACCACCTTCTAAATTGCATTGTGTAATCAAAACAACTGATCAGTTTGTCATTCCTTGGCTCCATTCCACAAAGTGATCCTAGCACTCAGACGATCACCACTCCAATACCTTTACATAGACTTACAACAGCAGTGATCCTAGCACTCAGATGATCACCACAATCCAATACCTTAACACTCAGATGATCACCACTCCAATACCTTAATAGACTTACAACAGCAGTGATCCTAGCACTCAGATGATCACCACTCCAATACCTTAACATAGACTTACAACAGCAGTGATCCTAGCACTCAGATGATCACCACTCCAATACCTTAACAATAACAGTGATTAACTCAGATGATCACCACTCCAATAACTTAACATAGACTTACAACAGCAGTGATCCCAGCACTCAGATGATCACCACTCCAATACCTTAACATAGACTTACAACAGCTGTGATCCAAGCACTCAGATGATCACCACTCCAATACCTTAACATAGACTTACAACAGCAGTGATCCTAGCACTCAGATGATCACCACTCCAATACCTTAACATAGACTTACGACAGCAGTGATCCTAGCACAGCAGTGATCGAAGTAGTGCTTTATTTCCGTACCAGGGCACAGTAAATATTTAAATGGCATAGATGAAATATTTTCCACGTGCCCTGGCGGTATGATTAAAATTATAAAAAATATACTCACCATGATTCATTTTATGTCAAATGCGATAAATTTGATCAGCTCAAATGATTCAAAACCTATGTTTACAACCCATTAAACAGTTTAATGGTGGCACTCTCAATCAAACAGCTTAACATTTTAAGTTCCCGTGAGCATAGGAAGCCCCTTTTTTCGTAATAACTTTGTTTGTTGGTTAGTTTATGGGTCCAGGACAAAGCTGAACTATTCTCGCAGTCATGTTAGTGTTCAGGAAATCCAGCTCTCATGGTTACAGGTTTACATAATGTTTACTGATTTATTAAACAATAAACTGAAATGACATAATTGTTTTAAGTTTAATTGGGTCATTAAAAGGTATGGGCATACTTATTTTCACAAAGACGCACCTAAACTATCTCTGTGGTGTAAGGGAGTGATGGGGTAGCCTAATGGTTAAAAAGACCTGGGTTCGATTCTCCACATGGGCACAATGTGTGAAGCCCATTTCTGCAGTCTAAGTAAACCTAGGCTCAGTATTATTCATTACACTGCTATACTGAGTCTAACAAACCCCAGTAGAAGGTTGCGTTAGCTAACCTTTTGAATTGACCAATCAGAACACAGCTTACCAAATCGTGAAAGTTAACATTTGCACATACCGTTTGAACTTTTACCTCGAAAATGTTTGCACTCGAACGATTCCGAATGCTATTTTCTGCACGATTACTTTCGAGTGATACATATGGAGCATGCCATTATTCACAAAATAGTGAGTAAACAGTCTCTGAAAATAGTGTTTTTGTCAATATTCCAGGATGTCATTTTTCGGAAATATAAGCTTACAGTAACTATGTCATTAGAAACCTCTTAAGCAGAGGTTGAGAGATTAGAGAAAATCCATTTTGTAAGTCCCGCCGAACCCTAAATAGTAGCCGTTGTCTGATTGGGTAAATCGGTTCGGCCGTTTTGCATTTGATTGGCCGGTCATAGGTCGCTCAGAGGTTAGCTAATGCGACCTTCCACTAGGGTTTGTTAGAGTCAGTAAAGCAGTATAACAAATAATACTGAGTCTAAGTCCATTTCTGGTGTCTGGAATACTGCTAAAATCTGCATAAAACCATACTCACTCACTCACTCTGTCTGGTGTCGTCAGGCAAATTTGCATTTCCATCACTGAACAGTCCCAGCGTTATGATGGCTCGGTGGGACGAATCCTTAAAACTTAACATCAGACTGACTGACTGACTGAGTTTAGTTTTACTCCGCTTTTAGCAATATTCCAGCAATATAACGGCGGGGGACACCGGAAATGGGCTTAACACATTGTGCCCATGTGGGGAATCGAACCCGGGTCTTCGGCGTGACGAGCCAACCCTTTAACCACTAGGCTACCCCACCGCCCCCTTAACATCAGAAAGGAAATGGACTTCTCAAAATGGATAACTGTGTAAGTGTTATCATGTTTCTGCATTGTCTTTGAGGTTTTGTGTTATCATCAGGAGACCTCAGTGGCTGTGCCAGTCCCACCAGTGTTCCCTGGCCTTCGGTGTTTTCTAGGGGAGACAATCATGTATGACTATGAGGGCAAATCAGCAAAATCCAAAATATCCAGATGGTTTCAAGGATTGGTATGTTAAAGCCACGCACCAACCTTTTGATTTTTTTATTGTTCAGGGAATGTGTATGATTCATATTTTATTCATATGCAAACAAGTCAAATAATTAATCTTTAAGAAATCTGCAAAATGCCATTTCCAAAATAGTAAATCTGAATTTGATAGATTTTTATCATAAAAAGTCTTGGATTGACTAACTGTAACTTGGGATATTGTAAAAACACTGTGTTTTTCACATGTACATCATGAATGCCTGAGTTTTTTCATGTTCAATGTGCTAAATATGCTACTCCTAGTTTTCTCGACACCTGGAGCACCAGCAAGACATCACAGAGGAGGTGGTGCACATGGCTGTCAGGACCCACACCTTCACCATCATCGCCTTCCCCAACATGCACATTCACAGACAGCTGGAGGACATGGTACACCAGGTAGGAAATGCTTTACAAGAATTATGTGCTTTTACTGTGCCCATTTAAGTAACAAGCCTAACCAAAGCAAACCGTTCAGGTTTTCAAGAGGACCCCCGTATTCTAATATTTACTTGTTTTATATATGTTATTACCTAACTTTGCATAGGTTAAAATCTTGAATTCCAGAACGACAACATTTCTGTACCAAATGTTTTGAAGAAGAATTTTGTGTTTCGGTTAAACGTTTTTATTTCAGATCAGCTATGATAGTGCAGAGCACATCAAGTCTCTGATAGTACATCCGCACTCGGAGAGGAAAAGGTAATCAGCTATACTGGATTCCATTCCATCTCGATCTGCAGACAATAGTCGTCAGATTAGTTTAAGACTGACATAAATTTTGAGAGTGTATGGAGTGTTCACACTTTGCATCAATTCTTATAAATACAGTGTAAATGCATTCTAGATCATTTACTCCTGAATAAAAACAATACAAAATCAGTGAGATCGTATTGCAAAATAATGTGACATGTGTTATGTTTTTGTGATCATGTATCAGTGTACTATATTTTGAAACTTTGCAATGATATAAATAGTTCTCAAAGTTACAATTAAACAAAATCATGTGTTATTTGAATTTTGTTGTATAGAGATTTTAATGACCTGTTTCTTGTATTATCAGATACATCCAGGAGATGTTCGGGGTGACCACTCTACCCGCAGCTGTTGTGGTGCACAATCAAGGTCAGTGTGTAGGCAGCCATCTTTCCTGAATCAACATCCTGGGACCAGACGATCTTATCATGAAATCATCATTCTGAAATTCACTTTTCTTTGAAATTCAAAATTCTCTTTTAACTTTGAAATTTGGAGGTCTCTTTACTTTGAAATTTGAAATTCAAACATGAATTTTTGATAGTAGAGTGGAATGTAATAAAGTCTGTAATGTACATAATGACTGCATATGATGAGTGCAATGTAAAATTGGTGATGTCATATTCATGTCATTGTAGCATTAGTAACAAATGTGTCCATTTTATTACTGGAAAAGTTAGAGCCTATGTGATTCAGCTGTTCATCATGGTGCCATTATTCACTGTTCAGAGTTGCTTCCCTTGGGCATACCAAAAGCCTATGATCGTTGGTTTGAATCCTGATATTGATTCCAGATTTGTCAGCACTATACCCATGTTCTTTGTTTTCACCAAAGTGGTAAATCCTTAGACCTGCATTACCTCAGTGTTTCCTCTCCCATCAAGATGACATGCACTGATGTAACTGGAATATTGTTCAAAGTGGCATAAAATGCAGCTTACTCATTGTTAAACAAAGTTGTACATCTAATATTGATTCATTTGTCTGTTTCAGCAAGGGGTGGTATTTACCTGTCATGATTAGAGTGTTCTATCTTTAGATTGAAACTAGTGTTTTGTTGATATGGGGGCAGGCAGATGTGAGAGACATTACCATTGCTGAAAGTCCTAGTGAAAGCCTTAATGTTTGATGTCTTCAGATGATGGATCTGACCCTGTGATAAAAGTCTTCCCTGAGATTTCCCTGCGTAGAGACAAAATGGAGACCTACATCCAGTCCCGGAGAGTGCCAACCACTCACTTCACAATGGTAGGTTGCTGGGCAGAGTTACATCCCTTTGGCATACCAGAACCTATGATTGTGGATTCCAATCCTGATTTGTACATATAACATTTCATACCCATGCTTGTGGGTATCAATAAGGTGTTTCATGTCTGCTTTATGAAGAAAGATGTTTGGTAATTAGCAGTCTAGCTGCAGTTACATGCTGACCAGAGGTCAAGGCCATCAAAATACCTGGTGGATATCATCTCCCTAAATAGGATCATGGCTCTTTTAATCTATAGCTGTCATCTCCAGCTCAAACACTAAACTGATATGTCATGACACAGCTAAAACTGCAGAGGATAGCACTTAAGAGGTTAATGAACATTCTCAAACCAAGTTTGCTTATTTCAGTTATATCCCAAGGTTTATGGTCCCTATTTGTATCAGTTCTTGTTTTAATCCACAGGAGTCCTTCAATCAGTTAGTCCGGGACACATCTGATGAGAGTTATGTCCCCTTCTTGATTGGCTTCTACGCCTTCTGGGCACCAGGGGCCTTGACCTTCCTACGCTTCATGTCTCTCACTGTGCAGGAGTTTGACGACCTGAGTGTAGCCTTGAGATTTGGCTTAGTTGACCTGTCTGAGCAAAACCAATGTGAGTCCACGACAGGTGACATGTCAAACAGTCACTGCATGCAGTTGATATCTTTTCAGGTCTCATCCAGTTTGTTTTGAATCACTAAATCATGGTAATGGTCTACAACTTATTTGTCTACCTATTTTGCTCGCTTGAATAACATTTGAAATAAACTGAAGAAGAGAATTTAATTTTTTGTGTTCACAGTATAAGAGATATGAAAAACTGAGTAAAAAGTGCTTTCTTAATTAAGAAATTAAGGGTTAGATTTCTTCCAGTTTTTCTTGCTTTGATCATTTTTTCATTACTGATATGTCAATGAGTATAAGAGCGTCCACCCAGAGAGCGGAAGGTCACAGGTTCAATCCCCGGCCACGTCATACCAAAAGATGTTAAAATATGGTACTTGTTGGTCCCTGCCTGGCGCTTGGCATTAATGGGTACAACAAGGACTGGTCAGCTCGGAGTCAGTATAATATGAGCTAGCACTATAAAACCAGCTTAAGTCTGGGCTAGTACAAGCAGCCACACATACACACGCATGCACGTCGTCATATGAGCGAAATAATCTTAAGTATTACATTAAACCCCATTTCACCTCACCTTCATGCCATTTTCCATTTTCCTCGTGACACTTGAACTGTGTAGGATTGATATGTGCCTAAATTCCATGCATTATGGTTCCAAGTATGAAAACTCACTGATGTAATGTACAATCATGTCAGCCTTAACCATGGCGTAACAGCTGTACGTTGATACAACAGCTTTCAATGACACTGTAGAGATGGGATATCTGGTGGTCAAGAAAAGCAAGGCTATCCAGTTAATATGTAAAATGAATATATTAAATCAGTCCCTCTTGGATTCCGCGATTCCGTGGTTGCAGAATAAATCATGGAAATTACCGTTTAATGCAGAAAAACGTCTGGGCCGTAGAAAACGCATTTTCATGCAGAATATCGGCAGAATTTGCCATTTTTCTGCCGATGAATTTTCTTATTTTAAAAGTTGAATGAAGGTTGACTATCAAATGAAACAATATTTTGTAAAGTTTGTAATGTCATTCCTGGTCACACTCGTAAGAGTACGGATTCAGATCATCTTTCTAAATCTAAAAAACATCTTGCAAGAAAATACAATCTGTCGGCTGTACCTTGAATGTCATGAAGCTCTAAAACAGTTACAGCTTTGTGTTTCAGAATAAAAAATTGAAATTCTTTATCATTTTTGGTTGTTTTTTCAAGTATTTAACTGCAGAATCTTTTGCAGAATTTTGAAAAATGGGATGCAGAATTTACTTTAATTTGCAACGGAATTCGTAAAAAAATTCACCATGGAATCCAGGAGAGACTGTTAGATATTGACTGAAACAAATAATATATTCTTGATATATTTGTCTTGCTTGTATTTCAGTGGTCAATAGATACATTGACCCCATGAAGGCAAGATCGTTTCCTTTTCTCATCCTGTTTACAAAAGGTAACTATATACATATAAATATTTAAAGTGTATGGATTCACATGACTGCCTTCATGGTAACCGTTTGTCACATAATCTGTGTACTTGTGATTGTGGGTTCAACTGCTGGTATACCCTGTTTGTGTGTAGAGGTTTGTCATCACTCAGGGTTCAACGTTACGTCAGCTGCCTAACCAACTCAGCCACCGCCTCTTCCACAGAAATGGAAGTCTGACAACTGGTAGTCTAGACCATAGACTTTGTGTATCGCTCTGATGAGTGTAAATTGTCACGGCTCCCTTGGTTGAAAGCTATGAATGCACAATGCCATTTAGAAAGTGGTCATATGTAACAAATGTTATATTTGGGATTACACTTTCTCAGTTGGTTAGGCAGCTGACTTTGTGTGCTGGCAATTAGGTGCCTGATTCTGAGGGTGTAGGTTCGAATCCCGGAAGGGACTTGGCCCAACAAAAGTACTAGAATCTGTACTTTACTGAGAAAGTGTAATCCCAAATATAACGTGTTACATTTGACCACTTTCTAAATGACATTGTGTATTCAGGTAGACATCTATTTGCACTATTTGTAGACAGACAGGTAGACATCTATTTGCACTATTTGTAGATAGAGAGACAGGTGAGCTACAACAGACTCTGCTGTCTGAGAAGAGACCGAGTCCACAAACTGTGTACACAGAGATCCTGGGGCTTGGCATCAACATCTCCACCTACAGTGGGGAGCCATTGCTGTACCAGCCATATGGAGTAGAGGACCCCATGCAGGTAGGCTCATCAGGGCTGGCTACAAGTGAACACTAACCATACTTGTACCACATGATATAGGTGTCTAGTGTGTTTGAGGGTCCGTATGTGTTCTACAGTCCACCATAACCAGACAGGACCTAATCACTAATCACTAGTGAGTGAGTTTAGTTTTACGCCGCACTCAGCAATATTCCAGCTATATGGCGGCGGTCTGTAAATAATCGAGTCTGGACCAGACAATCCAGTGATCAACAGCATGAGCATCGATCTGAGCAATTGGGAACCAATGACATGTGTCAACCAAGTCAGTGAGCCTGACCACCCGATCCTGTTAGTCGCCTCTTACGACAAGCATGGGTTACTGAAGATCAATATTCTACCCCGAATACTAATCCCTAATCACTAGGTACTGGCATGTGTTGGACAGGTGTCTAGTGTGCTTGAGGGTCCGTATGGACACATGTGCTCTCCAGCCTACCATTACAAGATAGAACCTAATCAATAATCACTAGGTACTTATACTCCCCATCAAAAGTTGAGACTCACTAGTGTAAATGTAGCCATTTATTTAAGTAAGCTGTTCTAAAATAAATTTTGCAAAACTTTCCATACTGTTTAAAGGTACTGTTTACACATAAACTGATGTATTGTAAAACACATTTGTAACGTTGAAATGATTATTGTCATGAGTTCAATAAATGATGAAACTCAGTGAAAATTGACGAATTCGTAACAAAACTTTACACCAAAACGCAGCTGTTCACATGCATGATATTTGCACATGCTTTACAGCAATTTGGTGCATGATCCTCGTGCAATTCATCTGCATAAGGTTTTAAGTTGGTTCCCCCAAGTTAGTGGAGAAATTCATCTTCGATGTAACCATACATACATACATAACATATAGTGAGTGCTTTAAGTGAGTATACACACCTCGGTTATGTTCCCATTCACTTTGTATTGGTTCATCCTCATATCAACCTCTTATGACGTCATTAGCGGTTGTTTTCAAATATCCCCCTTGGGGATTATCATATCATTCAAGGGTCTGACAATACCAATGTTTACTCAGGCGAATATGGAAAACCTCAGCGTCGCCTCGGTTATCCATATTCTCCCTCGTGAAAAAACGACATCGGCAATTCTTGAATATTTCTCTCGACTTCCGTCTCGAGAAATATTCAAGAATTACCTCTGTCAAAATGACAAAAAGGATGAGCAAGTTTACTGTTTATTACTTTTTCATCACAATATGAATGACACAGTTAGTAGTGATAATTGCGCCAGAATAGTTGAAGAAAGCACGGTCTCCTGTGTAGTTGTGTCATGAACTTCTGACGTATCCACAGTCGGATCTTCTGTTCCATTCAATATGGAGCTGATGGCCTCCTTTTGGTCCTCCCGAAGGCGTTCGTTTATAGGTCCAAGACCACACTAAGCCCATTTCTGGTGTCCCCGCCGTGATATTGCTGGAATATTGCTCAAAAGCGGTAAAAAAACAGAATGTTTGACATGTACACATTGTATATATATTTGTGTCGTGCAAAAACTTTACTGTGTTCACAACAGTGAGTGAGTTGAAACCGCCAATGTGGTTTGTGACGAGATGAAACCTGCGAGCATCGGGTGGAACTAGCGAACCATGGGTGATACTGCATTGAAATCTTTTACTCTAGTGACGTCATTGGGCTTTGACGATGGCGTAAAATGGAAAACAAATCGACTTTTAAGACCGACACTGTCATAAATCAAAATATTGGACCTTCTACTAAAGACATCATTCAATAGTTTTACAATTACTATTATTTTTATGTGCATGTTAAAACCACCTTGTTTTATTTTCAGATTTTTGATTTAATTTTAGAATTTAAACAGTTTGTATAACTCACCCTCAACACTGCGGTGTCCCGTTCGCTCCATAATCAGTTGTTCCGGTATTCCTTCTCATACAGTTTCGTTGCTGTAGTGACCCTTGTCATATGTCCAGTTATGCCTGCTTTACGACAAAGTTCGGGAACCACTTTCTGCAATGTGTTGTGGCCAGTTGGTTGACGACTGTACCAGCATGTATCTGTAGGGTGCTGTAGTGGCGTCAGGTAGAACATCTCATGCCTTCCATCTGTGGGACACAGGCTCATGTACTTCTTGTACAGCTCCACGTGACAACGCTCCTTACATTCACTTGCATGGTGTGTTACTTCTTTAGGAGCTATTTTGCGATGCTTAAGTCCACCTTGAAAGGTTTTTGAAATATCCTCTTTGTACTTAAGGTATGCTCGCTTTCCGGTAGGCTCACACAAGGAAACTTGAGATTGGTTGAAACGAAGGCTTCTGTGCTCGGATCCACTTCTCAGGGAGAAATGTTTACCATTTAGATACACCATGGTGTTTACAAGAACTCTGGCGTTTCCACAGTTTCCACAGTTGGTTCTCTTCGTCGTCCCTGATAGGCTCAGCTTGTTTCTTCTTTTGTCCCAATCCAGTATTAGTAATTCTCTTAAGCTCGCCATCAAAAACTTGCCTGAATTCCTCGAATTCTGGAGAGTTCAGAATGTTCAGATCTCGCTTAGAAGTAAGTCGAATGTGCGACTGAAGTCCCATCACAAGAGACACAAGAGAAGACGGCGGGTACATCTCTCCATTCTTCTTTCTCACTTCCAGTACAAATCTACTCAACCAGAATGTTAATTCTTCCGTATCCATATTATCCAGAGTTTTGATAATTTTGTTCTCATTAAGTCTGTTATTTCGCCATATTGCCCATGTGTTATAAGTCTTCATGGCCCATTTGTTTCTACAACGAGTGTTCACGGGTACAGCAGTGCGGGCTTGGTCTTCGATGTCTGTATTAGACGAAACAAACTTGAATCGCACGTTCTCATCGTTTTTTGCGGCATTACTTTCATCTTGTTTGAGTGGCATTTTCAGAAGTTGAGACGTACAATATGGAACACGTTTTTATGGATAACAACTTCTTCATTTCGAGCGTGAGTGCGACGTTTCGATACAGATTCTTGTACCGTTGTCAAGCAAGAGTGATACATGAAGTGGAGGAGCTGCGTATATATACTGTATACATGTATAACAATGAAACAACATACATTGTAATTGACAAAGGAAACAACATAATTGCCATAATTGGTTAAGCATGGTGGACAACCTCCTAGATGACACCTCAACCTACAAAAGGATGAAGAGGGATCCGACTACAAAGCTCAACCGTCAGCATAAGGCCACGCTAAAAACGCTGCATGATAAATATGAACTCTCAACAGATCTGTATCGTAAACTCACAGTATCTCACCCCCAGCCACCTTATGCCAGAGCAACAGTCAAAATCCACAAGAACCCCGTTAAAACTCGTCTACTAGTCTGTTCCCGTGACACTGTGTTCTACAGTACTACCCAGCACCTTACCCAAACACTCCCCCCACTAGGTAAATCTGCCAACTCCTTCATCAATGATTCAACTGACTTCTGCTGCAAGATCCGTGACATCACCAACCCAGGTCCCATCATCAGCTACGACGTTGTGGACCTATTCACCAATGTACCTCGGGAAGAAGCCCTCCAAGCACTACGCCAAAGAATTGACAACCTCCAACAACCCCTCAACACTAGCCTCTCTAACGACTCTATCATCAGCCTCACCACCGCCTGCATCAACTCCACCTACTTCACCTGGGGCGATGCCATCTATGAGCAAATCCACGGACTTCCCATGGGCTCCCCACTATCCCCCATCCTAACAGAAATTTACATGACCGACCTGGAAGATAAGGCCCTAGAAACTGCACCCTTCAAAACTTCCTGCTGGTACCGCAAAGTGGATGACACCTTCATCATCCTCCAACCTCAGCTAGATCCAAAGCAGCTCCCAAGCCCATCTCAACAACCAACATCCCCACATCAAATTCACCATAGAAACAGAGCAGAACAACCAACTACCTTTCCTTGATGTCCTTGTATCCGCGACCTCCTGCAACCAACTCCAGACCTCCCGTGTACAGAAAACCTACCCATACGGATCAATACATCCACTACAACTCCAACCACCCCCTAAAGTCAAGACCGAGGCGTCATCTCTACATTGACCAGAAGAGCCAAAAACATCTGCTCAACAAACCTACAAGAAGAAATTGAACACCTAAGGAAAGTCTTTGTAGAACGCAACCACTACCCACCTGAAATAGTCAACAGAACCATCGAAGCAACGCTTTCACCCCCTGCCAAAAGATCTAAACCAGAATCAGCCCCCATCAAGATATCCATTCCCTACATAGGTAAACCATCACATCAAATCAAATCAGCCGACTCCTGAGACAACAGGCAGGCATAGACACAACCTTCTCAGCGTCCTGCCTCAACAACCTTCTCCATGCCAACGGAAGAAAACAACCCACCGTCAACAACAACAACCCGAAATGTGTTATTTATAAAATAAACTGTGATTGTGGACAAAGCTACATAGGTGAAACATCCCGACCCATCAACATGCGAGTCAAAGAACATCGCACCTCTGTTGCTAATTCAGACACAAAATCAGCTATCTCTGACCGCATCAAAGCAAACCCCAATCATCAAATAGAGTGGTCAGACTTCACCATTCTCGCCAACAACCAAACGGACTTCACTAAACGCAAGCTCACCGAAGCCATTCACATCACACGCCATAAGCCCACCATCAACCGTGACCAAGGATACTTCATTCCATCAGCTTATGATCCACTCCTCCACCAAGCCCAATCTATTGTATAAACATCGCACCTATTGTATAAACATCTCCTTCATTGTAACTACTTCTGTATTTATACATCTCTGGCTTCCATTACTATCCTTTGTGTACTCACTGGCTTCATCAGCTTACTGCTTAACCAATTATGTATGTTGTTTCATTGTTATACATGTATACAGTATATATATGCAGCTCCTCCACTTCATGTATCACTCTTGCTTGACAACGGTACAAGAATCTGTATCGAAACGTCGCACTCACGAAATAAAGAAGTTGTTATCCATAAAAACGTCGAAAACTTGTTTGAGTGGCATTTTTAGAAGTTGAGACGTACAATATGGAACAAGTTTTTATGGATAACAACGCACTCACGAAATAAAGAAATTGTTATCAATAACATGAAGGTGCACTCAAATTAGAGATACACTAGGTACATAGGTATGGAACACAACAAAATGCCCGGAACCAAGTTATCACACGAAGCCTACGCCGAGATCCGATCAGTCGTTTGTCTCTTCGGGAAGCAAAGAGGAAGTACCACATATCGCAAGCCCGATACACACGAATCCGTGGCGGCTCCGAGAGAACTCCCGACATGGCCAAAGTCTTCGAGAGACTGCTGGAGAAGTGTCCCCACGTATTGCATTCCGACCGAGAGAAACAAATCCTGGAGAAATCTGGACACACCTTCTACGAGCGCTACCAGATGCCTCGGAAGTTTCTGGAGCTGTATTTGCTGTACTTTCGCCAATTCGTCATAGACGGCAAAATAGTGGATTTCGTTTACCTCTACCCACCCAACCAATTTCGCCCTGCGGTGGGCAAACTCCGCATTGTTCTTGCGGACGACTACTGCCGCCCAGCAGAACCCAAGGACAGAAGACATCACCGATGCACCGACTGCCTGGCCGTCATATCGGAACTCCCCACTCTCTTCGAGTGAGACAACTCTACGTGCAAGTGTGGCGTTATCGATCACTGCGTCGACAGCAAGAAATGCGTTCTGTGGAAAAACAAAGCGATAGAAGACTACACACCACCCCAGGAGGATCGACTTCCACTCGAGGTTCCGGAAGAAATCCCAATCCACTACTTTCTCTCAAACATAGAGAACCTGCACAACGACGACTGCCTCTTCTGGTGCCTGCGCTACTAACACCTCGTCGACGAGTTGTCGGCCAATTGTCCATGCAGCGAGAAAGAGTCTTGTATCTTCCGGCAGCTATCGGGACAAGCAGATCTGCCAAGGGGACGGGGACTGCATACACACCCCTTTGCCCAACTACGGCGGGCCCAAGGATATGGAAGTGGCAGCCCCTCCATGCAGCGAACACCGAAAAGCCACAGACGTTCCGGAAGGAATCTACACGTGCCAAAACTTCATGCCATATCGAAATCTGAAGGAAGAACCGACTTTTGCTGCTACTGGATTCACCATCGACTGGAGAAGAAAACAATTCTGGTGTTCGGCCAATTCGCCATAGACGGGCAAAATAGAGGATTTCGTTTACCCTCACCCACCCAACCAATTTAAGCCCTGCGGTGGGCAAACTCCGCTGATTGTTCTTATGCCGGCTGACTACTGCGTCACCAGCAGAACCCAAGGACAGAAGACATCACCGATGCACCGACTGCCTGGCCATCATATCGAACTCCCCCCACTCCTCTTAGCGAGACAACTCTAATGCAGAAGTGTGGCTTATCGATCACTCGCGCCGACAGCAAGAAATCGGATTCTGTAATGGAAAACAAAGCGATAGAAGACTACACACCACCCCAGGAGGATCGACTTCCACTTTCGAGGTTCGGAAGAAATCCTAATCCACTACTCACCATGCAGAACCTGCACGACTGACGACTGCCTCTTCTGGTGCTCTGGCGCTTACTAACACCTGCGTCCGACGAAGTTGTCGGCCACAATTGTCCATGCAGCTTAGAAAGAGTCTTGTATCTTCCGGCAGCCATCGGGACAAGCAGATCTGCCAAGGGGACGGGGACTGCATACACACACCTTTGCCCAACTTCGGCGGGCCCAAGGATATGGAAGTGGCAGCCCTCCATGCAGCCTAACAGCGAAAAGCCACAGAGCGCCCGAAGGAATCTACCACGCGCCAAAAACCGCCATATCGGAAATCACGAAGGGAAGAACCGACTTTTGCTGCTACTGGATTCACCATCGACTGGAGAAGAAACAATTCTGAATTGTGCACGGCTGGGGCTAAATTAGTTGGGTGGGTAGAGGTAAACGAAATCCACTATTTTGCCATCTTTGTATTTCTTGGACTTGGCCTTGTGACACATCTTTTTTTAGGGCATGTTGAAATTTTTCCTATATTTTTCCTACTTCCTATATGTCTATATGAAAATCCCAATCCTATCCTGCTTAATAGCCACACACGGAATTGTTTTCTCCAGTCGATGCGGCGAATCTAGTAGCAACTTAACAAGTCGGTTCTTCCCGCCATTATTCGATATGGCGAAGTTTTGGCGCAGTAGATTCCTTCGGAGCGATCTGTGGCTTTTCGGTGTTCGCTGCATGGAGGGGCTGCCATATCCTTGGGCCTGCCGTAGTTGGGCAAAGGGGTGGTATGCCTGTCCCTTGGGCCCCATGGCAGATCTACTTGTCCCGATAGCTGGCCGGAAGATACAAGACTCTTTCGCTGCATGGACAATTGGCCCGACAACTTCGTCGGCCGAGTTAGTAAGCGCCAGGCACCAGAGGCAGTCGATGCGCCGTACAGGTTCTCTAGTGTTTGAGAGAAAGTAGTGGATTGGGATTTCTTCCGGAACCTCTCGAGGCAGGAAGTCGATCCTCCTTGGGTGGTGTGTAGTCTTCTATCGGCTTTGTTTTTCCACAGAAGCGCGTTTCTTGCTGTCGACACGCAGTGGTCGATGTCGCGCACTTGCACGTAGAATTGTCACCATTTCGAAGAGAGTGGGGAGTTCCGATATGACGGCCAGGCAGTCGGTGCATCGGTGGTGTCTTCTGTCCTTGGGTTCTGCTGGGCGGTAGTAGTCGTCCACGAGAACAATGCAGAGTTTGCCCGCTGGGGGCGAAATTGGTTGGGTGGGTAGAGGTAAACGAAATCCACTATTTTGCCATCTTCGACGAATTGGCGAAAGTACAGCAAATACAGTTCCAGAAACTTGCGAGGCGTCTGGTAGCACTCGTAGAAGGTGTGTCCAGATTTCTCCAGGATTTGTTTCTCTGGGTCGGAGAAATGTTGAGTGGAGGTGCACCCTTTGGAATTTTCCTGCTTATTTTATCATTATTTTTGCTTTGCGGTCCTGTACTGCTATTGCCTATACTACTCATCTTGTTTCAAGGGGTGTTTGCGGGATTTTGTAAGTAAGACTAAGTAAGACCTAATCTCATTTTTCAAAACAATACTGTATTTGTTTAAATAATTTCAAAATCATTTAGATTAACTTAACTTAAACCTCCGTTTTACCTGCGTGTATTTTAACAAAATAGACCTCCTTTTCCGATGCGTGTATGGCAAATAGCAACCTCCCCTCGGTTGATGTAGAAATGAACTTTGATGCCGAGCTATTTGGACTCGATGTTCAAACAGAGGGTTCAGCGTGTTCATTTCTATATCAACCTCAGGATAAAGTTGTTATTTACCTAAACTTTTCATGGGTAGTATATATGTGTTGGACAGGTGTCTGGTGTGTTTGAGGGTCCATATGGACACATATGTTCTCTAGCTTACAATAAGCAGACAGGACCTAATCACTAATCACGAATCACTATACACAAGGTACTTGTATGTGTTGGACAGGTGTCTGGTGTGTTGGAGGGTCCGTATGGACACATGTGTTCTCTAGCTTACAATAAGCAGACAGGACCTAATCACTAATCACGAATCACTATACACAAGGTACTTGTATGTGTTGGACAGGTGTCTGGTGTGTTGGAGGGTCCGTATGGACACATGTGTTCTTCAGCCTACCATAACCTGACTGACAATACACCCAGGAAGAAGCCACAGGTGAAAAAGAAAATGAAAAACTGAAAAAGAAAAGAGACTGGCCCAACAGGGTATGTTTTACAGCATTTTCATGATAAATATTTATACTGACATGTTTTATACTGATATATGAAAATAAATAGAAATATGTTAATTTTGAATTCTTTGCTGTGTAAAAGTACAAGTGGAGAATGAATTTGTCTGTTTTGTGTTATGATGAGTTTTAATTGCACAAGGGGCGGTGGGGTAGCCTAGTGGTTAAAGTGTTCACTCGTCACACAGAAGGGTTCAATTCCCCACATGGGTACAATGTGTGAAGCCCATTTCTGGTGTCCCCCAACGTGATATTGCTGGAATTTTGCTAAAATCGGGTAAAACCATATTCACTCACTCATTTAATTGCACATATAAAGGTGCAGTGGATTTTCCTAATAATTATACAAATGTAGGCCCTTTTAATTTATACTGTGTATATTTCTGTGTGCGGTAACTGAACCAACACACAGTGAAATAATACACTGTAAGACAAGCTGTTAATTGTTTCCACAGGACATTTTTGATGAAATTGATGCCACCCTTCCGAAGGATCATGGGATACCAGTTGTGTCACACGTGACATGGAGTCAGGTGGTGGAGAAGTCCCACGCACCACGACACCCGTTCCTGCCAGAGGGCCGATGGGCAGGAGAGTATACCAAGGTGGCCATGGTAAGCCAATATCTGTTAATTATTTGATGGCCAGACATTTATGTCAGATTTTATCTGGTGGTGTCACATGCATACTGCTTATAAAACATAACTGTGTTTTCATGTTGTTTATTCTTGTGATGTCATGTAAGGGCAATGGTTGGGCTGTAGTCGAACACTCATTTGGTTCAGGTCAGGTGAGGTGAAATTAGGTTTAACGTCGTGCTTGAGAATATTAGCTCATATGACGACGTGCCTGCGTGTGTATGTGTATGTGCGCCTGCTTGTACTAGCCCAGACTGAAGCTGGTTTTATAGTGCTAGCCCACTGAGATACCATGCCGCAGTGAAGCATGAATATCCCCACTCAGACACATTATACTGATTCCGAGCCGACCAGTCCTTGTTGTACCCATTAATGCCGGGCGCCAGGCAGGGACCAACAAGTACCATATTTTAACGTCTTTTGGTATGACGCGGCCGGGGATCGAACCCGCGACCTTCCGCTCTCCGGGCGGACACTCTAACCACTACACCACGGAGGCAGTCTGGTTCAGGTCCAACATATATGATCTCACTTAGTACTGGGAGGAATCCATATTGAGAGTAGTTCCATGCCTGTGACGCTCCCATGACACCACACATACTGAAGGCAGTAGCAAACCTCATGCAACTGTTCAAATTATTTGTATTTTCAAATCAAAGTCGGTATCAAGTTTCTGTTCGGCAGAAAATAACAAGTCTTCAAAAGACGATGTCATGTCATATTAACTATATATATAAATTCTTTAAGTGGCATTTAGAAGCTAGTGTGATGAAGAGGAACTGTAGTTATGGATAGACATCTTCTTGATTGCAACGGATGTGACGTTTTGTTGTAGATGCTAACAGTGTTATCACTTGCTTGCATCTGTTGCAATACAGTAGTTGTCTATCCATAAACACTTGATATGCATCAGGATGTAATGTAACACGGTTTACAGTCAAATCACACATCTGTACTCCAGTGCTTCCCAAAGTGTTACATACATGGTGGAATGAGCCAGATTAATCTGGAACGTCACAGCTCTGGCAAACTGTAGCAAATAGGGCTGCGCAACAGAGAGAAAACTGTGGAATTAAATATATTTTAGGGGGGTAATTATTAAATATGAAGTTGGAAATCTGAGGTGAGGTGAGGTGAAATGGGGTTTAATGTCGTACTTGAGAATATTTCGTTCATATGACAACGCGCATGCGTGTGTATGTGTATGTGTGCGCCTGCTTGTACTAGCCCAGACTGAAGCTGGTTTTATAGTGCTAACCCACTGAGATACCATGCCGCAGTGAAGCATGAATACCCCACTCAGACACAGTATACTGACTCCGAGCCGACCAGTCCTTGTTGTACCCATTAATGCCGAGCACCAGGCAGGGACCAACAAGTACCACATTTTAATGTCAGCAGCCGGGGATCGAACCAGCGACCTTCCGCTCTCCGGGCGGACGCTCTAACCACTACACCACGGAGGAAATCTGAAAGCACAACCCTGTGAGGGAAAGGGTGTCTACCTTTGATGGTGGCCATATATTATGTTGATGTTAAAAATATTTTTCGAACCGAAGCGAGGGAAGTATATTGCCAACCTTTACTCGCTTCGCTCACATATAGGAAGATTGGTCATTTTCTTTTTGTTGCGCAGCCCTATTTGCGCTACAGTTTGCAACTTGCTGAGCAGAGTTATGTCCCTTAGATGCCCTTGACAGTCCAGTATAGTGCTGCTATTGGGTTTCACCAAAGTGTCAATATCTTGGAATTTATATAGTCCTTCGCAGATGAGAATATTTGACCCCAAATCTTTCCAAATAGGAATGTATTACACATGGTGTTTGTTTCACCTAATTTTAACTTAAATGCGATGGTTTGGTTGACATGACTAAATGGATTCTACTGATAACAGAATCTAAGGAAGGAAGTGACCTAATTCTTTAGAGACCTTACATAATTTTATTGAAGGCAATTTTACAATGCATTGCTAAAATACCTCTGAAAATAACGAAATTAAAATGAAAAAAAAAAATTGAACAAAATAAGAATGTTTCCTAATTTACCTGCCCTAGGGCTCCTTGAATCCTTGATAAATCCACATTTCTGTGCCGGGTAACCGTTACATAGCCATGTAGTGATTTGAAGGAAAATGTTCATAAACAGTTCTTAACTTGCCCACTAAGGATTTTACAACTAGTCCAGTGGAACACATCATCCTATCACAGTGGTGTTAACCCAGCGACATTTTCTGTCATGCAGATTGTGTTCCTGATCGATGGATGTGGAAGCTGTCGACGTAACATGGATGTCTTTCGTGAACTGCACGAAACAGTAAAGTATATAGGTTAGATATTGTCTTCCCTCACCAATCTGGCACAGTAGATAGTGTGTTTGAGCTCAGTGGACAGTGACTTCAGCTCTTTCCATTGCCGCTATGTAGGAAGCTCAAACTGTGCACCAGAAGTAGCTTTTTAATTAGAATGGTAAACAATTCATTTTAGGGATGAATCATACAAAATTGTCAATAGAACAGAAATGAAGAAAGTTTCATCCAAGGGTATCACAAAGGTGTCACAGGCAGCGGATGAGGTTTGATAACAGTGCCAATCTTTTGTTTCTTATGGGTAAACATGGTTGCATTACTACTTTGAAAGGTGTAAATAACGTGTCTTTTAAGATGTTTTAGACAGTTTGCCATCACTCGAAGTATTTGTCTTTGGCAATTATTTGATCTTTTCTGAGATCTTGTTAGTGATATCATTTCTCTTATACGTGGAACTTTCTCTGCTATTTTAGATGGTGGCTCCCTCTACCTTGCAAACTGTACGCGGGATAGGCAGTTGTGTGTGGACCATGGCGTGACAGGCTTCCCCACCATCCTGGCCTTCCGTGGGTTTGGTTGGCTGGGTGACGGTCTGTGTGTGTCGTCACAAGCTGAGAGAGAGATCGCCGAATCCATCAGGATGGACTATCATGGCGTCATACTGGTCAGTACTATCACTGATACCATGGTAACGTGGGTCATTATTTGGAAGTATGCACACATTTTAGACCAGTCTGCATGAACAGAATGTCTCAAATTGATAGCCTGTGTCATTCTGCAGGATTGAAATTCAGGTGGTGCATAGCTGTGCAGAGTTACTTCCCTTTCCAGTAGAGATGCTGTTATGGGTTTGATTCCCTCATTCACTTTCATCATGATCTTGGTTTCAATTATTACATGCTTCATGATGGGCATCTCACCCAGGACTGAATGTCAGGACATTATTAGCTGACCTCCGAAGATTCGGGTTAGAAGTGGCCAGTAATTCAGCAAACCTTTCTTGTCCTAATACTATTAGTAAGAGGCGACTAATTGGATAGGGTGGTCAGGCTTGCTGACTTGGTTGACAGTCATGATTGTATCTCAGTTATGTTGATCGATGCTCATGATGTTAATGGCTGGATTGTCTGGTCTAGACTTGATCATTTACAGACCGCCGCCATATAGCTGGCAGCGTTAAACAACAAACACATACAAAACATGATTACCGTAGGTGTTTAAGTAGCCTCATGACATGACATGACATCTCAACTGACAGTTTATTTGCTCCAGTGTTCTTCTCCCAGCAGTTTACTGACGACCGGCAGTTGATTGACCACTGGCCTTGGAGTGATTCAAATGCTGTTAGTTCTGTTAGTTTTGCACCTTTGGATTATCAAAAACCAAGCTACCATGGTTAGGCAAGCTTAATATGTATCATACAGATTGGTAAGTCATTTGAATTATTTTTAATTTTCAGGTAAAACATATCATGGAGTGGTTCTCCTCTGTGGCAAGTCCAGCTGTGAACAACGTCAAATTTAGGCAGCCTCCTGTCATGGAAGTAGTGGTAGGTATACAGGATATAGTGTGTGCAGTATCGCACATGCTTTGATGAGACTTTTGGAATGACATCCCATAATAATTGTGTTTCAAGTCATGGACTGAACAGATATTGTCCAGTGATAGGGTAAATTTAAATAGATGCTAGTTTACTTTGTTTTACACAGATGGATTGTTTAGGAGTCAATCTAGCTGCAGTGTTTCTCACATTTGTGGGTGTAGGAATGCTGATAATATGTGAAAAGATTTTAGTTTTATCTAATATTAAATATGAGTTTCCTGATAACTGCTTTCATTTGTGATAAAAGGATAGGTTGGTCTGCCTCAACCTGTTTGGCTTGATGGGAAATAAAGGGTCAGTTGGGTACTGAGGACTTGCTGTTCAAATGCTTTTTCCTGACAACAGACTACTTTTTCTTACTGAGAACTTTTTAAATGAATGTGGGAAATTTGTTTTTGATATGGATTATATGACCACATGCTACTGCATAATATTCTCCAGGGCACTACAACAGGAGCCAACCAGTACAAGACAAAACATAGCCTGAGTATTTACAGCAAGCACTTCACTTTTCAGGATGAAGATGTTCGCTTGACTGCGACTCTCATGCCGAAGTATTCCCGCTACCTGCCCAAGTCTATGCAGACAACTCCTGACATGTTATACTCGTACCAGTGTTATCGCCTGGCGTGTGAGCGACTGTACGGCCAGTCCAAGTGCTATACTGTGTACAACACCCAGGTTCCTCCAGAGGATTATGAGGAGAAGGATCTGGATGTGGTGGTCATCAAGGTAGGTGCTACACTGTGTACAACACCCAGGTTCCCCTGGAGGAGTAGGAGGAGAAGGATCTGGATGTGGTGGTGATCAAGGTGGGTGCTACACTGTGTACAACACCCAGGTTCCCCTGGAGGAGAAGGATCTGGATGTGGTGGTGATCAAGGTAGGTGCTACACTGTGTACAACACCCAGGTTCCTCTGGAGGAGTATGAGGAGAAGGATCTGGATGTGGTGGTGATCAAGGTAGGTGCTACACTGTGTACAACACCCAGGTTCCCCTGGAGGAGAAGGATCTCAAGGTGGGTGCTACACTGTGTACAACACCCAGGTTCCCCTGGTACAACACCCAGGTTCCCCTGGAGGAGGTTCCCCTGGAGGAGAAGGATCTGGATGTGGTGGTGATCAAGGTGGGTGTGTACAACACCCACACTGTGTGGTGATCAACACAACACCCAGGTTCCCCCTGGAGGAGAAGGATCTGGATGTGGTGGTGATCAAGGTAGGTGCTACACTGTGTACAACACCCAGGTTCCCCTGGATGTGGTGGTGATCAAGGTAGGTGCTAGGATCTGAGAAGGATGTGGTGGTGATCAAGGTAGGTGCTATGCTTAGTACAACACCCAGGTTCCCCTGGAGGAGAAGGATCTGTATGTGGTGGTGATCAAGGTGGGTGCTACACTGTGTACAACACCCAGGTTCCCCTGGAGGAGAAGGATCTGGATGTGGTGGTGATCAAGGTAGGTGCTACACTGTGTACAACACCCAGGTTCCCCTGGAGGAGAAGGATCTGGATGTGGTGGTGATCAAGGTAGGTGCTATACTTAGTACAACACCCAGGTTCCCCTGGAGGAGAAGGATCTGTATGTGGTGGTGATCAAGGTGGGTGCTACACTGTGTACAACACCCAGGTTCCCCTGGAGGAGAAGGATCTGGATGTGGTGGTCATCAAGGTAGGTGCTATACTTAGTACAACACCCAGGTTCCCCTGGAGGAGGAGAAGAGGAGAAGGATCAAGGATGTACAACACCCAGGTGATCAAGGTAGGTCAAGGTAGGCTACACTGTGTACAACACTCAGGTTCCCCCTGGAGGAGAAGGATCTGGATGTGGTGGTGATCAAGGTAGGTGCTACACTGATTGTTGATAGAAATCTGCATCATCAAGGTAAGCCGATGATCTGAAGTTGATTCTTCTGAAGTTGATTCTTCATGTGAGTACATTGCTTAAAGATCCTTCTCGGTACCCACTACTTGGATTTGGCAGGAATATTCCTGAAATAGTTTAAAACCCAACTTCCTGCATGTGTTATCTCCTGTCCAGGTGGCGCTAGAGAGGAGTGATGGCATGAGGGTGAACATCATGCAGACTGGACGATATCTGCACCACTCCATCAGCGAGGAACTCGGGCCCCACCTCCACACCTTCCATAAACCCCACAGGTAGGCCTCACCTCCACACCTTCCATAAACCCCACAGGTAGGCCTCACCTCCACACCTTCCATTAACCCCACAGGTAGGCCTCATCTCCACTCCTTCCATAAACCCCACAGGTAGACCTCACCTCCACATCTTCCATAAACCCCACCCACAGGTGAGGCCTCACCTCCACACCTTCCATAAACCCCACAGGTAGGCCTCACCTCCACACCTTCCATAAACCCCACAGGTAGGCCTCACCTCCACACCTTCCATAAACCCCACAGGTAGGCCTCACCTCCACACCTTCCATAAACCCCACAGGCAGACCTCACCTCCACACCTTCCATAAACCCCACAGGTAGACCTCACCTCCACACCTTCCATAAACCTCACAGGTAGACCTCACCCGGGATCAAACAGGGAAGTGTCTGTATTTGTTTCTTGTTGTATGCTGCTGTCATTATTGGTGGCAGTATCTGTACGGCACAGTAGTTGTGGGTAGTTGCAGTAGCCCAGTGGTTAGTTTCAAGCATAACTTGGGGGTTTGATTCCCTCCATTGGTTCTATTCAGTGTTTCCATGGCAATGAGGCCTTACTGCATAACCTTGTGGCACTGTAACAATGAAGTCATGAAGGTATTCAAACATCGGCTTCTCCGCAGTGACTACATGATCCATAATAAAAAAAGTAAAATCAGTTCCACAAGCTAGAAACAATTGCTTGGATTTTTGGTTTGAATAAGTGCATTACAAAGGAGATGGGACTGATAGGAACTGAATGCAAAGAGCTTTTAGATGTGAATTAATCATGAAAATTTTTTCAAGTCGTGGATGTGCTTAATTCAGATTTTAGTTTGCAAAACATGTATGTGAATATATTGTTCAGTCTTATCTAGAAGGGCAAAAGATCCTCTTTGTGAGAAATATATATTTCTTGTGTAGGTATAACCTAGGAAGCAGTCAAAAATGCGAGGACGATCACAGTGCCTGTACAGACCTGATAACGTCCTTCACGCGAGACCACGCCCGCCTTCCCGTTACTCACCTCACCGCCATGTCCTTCCACACCAAGAACAAGTAAGAGACCAATATTTCATATTCTTGGGGTGGCAAGCAAATTTGGAAGATGAAGAATTTTTTGTTGTGAACTGCTATGGTCTCTATCATTTCGCACAGTCAGTTTTCTGAAATATATGTTATATTTGTGGCAGAAGTATTTCCAGTATTTTAAAAAAATATTGTTCTCTCCTGTGTTACAGAGTCTGTAGCAATATGTATTCGTAAGCCTATGATAAAGTTACGACTTAAGATGGATCGAAACGTTACAAACGCCTGGGTGGATCGAAACCCTGGTGACATGTCATAACCTCAGTTTACATTTCAGCCAAAATATCCCCAAGAAATGCGGCATAAAAACGATGGTTGATTATCTAAGTGTTATAGTTGAAACTTACTTTTAAATTGAATTTATCTATTTTTCATGGGATTGGTGCCAGTTTTAGGGAAAGTTTATTAATGAGAAGAGGTACATAATTGATTAAAGGCGCAATGTCACACCCCACTTCTCTAAAAATACATGATGCATTTCTCTCAATAATACTAACTATCAGCCCTCAGGGCAGCTACCATATAATTTATTCCAAAATAAATTACATATTTAGATTTCAGTTTTAAATTAAAAAGTTCGAATGATTTAATGCAACATTGCATTAAATCGACTCTCGCGCCCTCTACTGGCTGAACATTATTTCAAGCAAACCCCATAGAATTATTAGTGGCGTGATGATTCATCGATACGCATCGATGCATCGATCCATGGACCACTGATACAGTGAATCGATACAAAGTTTTACATTGTCGTATATCCCGATACGATACTTCAAAAGGCCACAACACATCGATGTATTACTTTGAATATTGACTAATTGCGATATCTGTCAAGAAAGACTTACTTTTGTTTGGTGATTAAAATATATGCATACTTATTTTCCCTTCATAAGTTTCTCGGACATTCTTGCGTCAGGAACTGTGTCAAACATAGCGCTCGCATTTCATTAACATTCACAAAGTCTGTGTATAAACTCATTTATCTCATTTCCGAATGTCCATTGAAAAACGCTGTGGGAATTTGACGAAATACTTTAAAATGGTATTGTTTTGATCTTAAGGTGTTTTATAGTTGGTGTTAGAATTATAGGTTTTAGAATTGTGATATGTGTCGTATTGTCATCCTTGTATCGGGATTCATATTGTATTGCAGCTTCAGTGCACAATACTTTAGCAATATATCGTCATGACTAAAATTTTAGTATCGTGATGTATCGTATCGCAGGTTGTATGCCAATACCAGCACTAAGAGTTATGTCCCTTGGAGCGCTCTTTATGAATATCCACGACAACGTGTGATTGAAACCAGTTTGGCAAACTCCGACAAAACCACGTGCAACAGTTTTCGATGTATGGAGCAATTGTTTACATTCCACATATATGGCAAGTGTTACCTGCTTGGAAGCTGTTCGCTTCGAAGTTTCAATTTCACGATTTTAGGCAAGACGTAAGGGACAATAAGTATTTTATTGCATTAATAGGAAGCTAAAGTGAGTACATATACTCCCAATACATAAAATATAGGTCAAAATATTGTTGAAAATGTGTGACATTGTGCCTTTAAAGTGTACTCATCATAACGTATATTCATCACCTGTATGTGCAGCCCGCTGTTTGAGGAGGATCTGCCAATACTCCTCAGTCTGGTCCATCAAGATAACATCACACAGGATGCAGATTTCATGCAGGTAAACCACACACAATCACAAGTTTATATATTGCTGTCTGTAATAAGCAACAATGCATATATATCTGTACCTCAGGTGTCACCCATTTTGTTCTGGGGAGGTAGGGGGGGTCATCAATTTTGTATAAATGTACTTGAGGGGTCAGGGGGTCAGCAATTTTGTACATAAAAATATTTGAAACATACGCTTAGAAAGTCTTGGATTGGAAATGGGGAGGGAGGGTGAGGGGGTCCTTGATGTTGTACATGACATGTGGGGGGGATCACTTACTTTGTACATAAATTTTAAGGGGGAGGTGTCATTCACATTGTACATGCTTCTCCATAATAATCATCATCACCTACCCAAGCCATAACTTATGAACGGTCCCTTACAAGTATATCTGAAACAAGGGACATAACTCTTGCATGCTTGTCGGCTGAATGTCTGCAAACATTATAACCCAAATTCTGTCAAAGAAAATGATTCTATTCAGATGTTGATGGAAGTGGGTACCAGTCTGTATCAGGATGTGGCTGTGATGACTGTGGATGTGGATCTGTACCCAGACTGGGTGTCACGGTTCGTACCGGCAGGGTATCACAGGAAAGCAGCAGGTGGGTGCCATTTTATTATTTTTTAACAGTTGATGAAAAAGAATAGTTTTCCTGTCTGGTTTGCATCAAAGTTATCCTGTTAAATTTTTCCTGTTCCTGAGAATTTTTGTGTGAATTAAGCATCCTTTTCCTCATTTTCCTTTGTTAACAATGGAAAACCAATATGGATGGATGAAGTTGATGATGAACATAATTAAATCTTCTTTTGCATATCTTATTCTTCTTAATATTTGAAGTCCACTTCCCATATTATTGAAATATTACCTAATTCAAGTACAGGGATTGGGATAGAGAACTTTGACAATGGGCCATTTTCAGGATTATTAGCCATTTTCTGAATTTAGAATGGGCCACTGCCCTTGTATTAACAGAAAAATTTCAAAATTTGAATAGGCCATTTATTTTTAATGTGCAAAATGACCCATCATGGCCCCTGCCTTTCCCAATCCCTTGAAGAATATACCTTGTTCCTACTTCTTATAAAGAGGGGCGGTGAGGTGGTCTTGTGGTTAAAACATTCGATTGTCACGCTGAAGACCCGGGTTCGATTTCCCACATGGGTATAATGTGTGAAGCCCATTTCTGGTGTCCCACGCTGTGATGTTGCTGGAATATTGCTAAAAGTGGCGTAAAACTAAACTCACTCACTCACTCTTTTAAAGAAAGATAATATATTGCCTCTATAAAAATGGCATATATGTTAGTAAGGTTCAGTAGGAGTACCTGCAGTTTGATTCAGTCCTGAATCCTTGGATATCATGATATGTGTCACTGCCTATTTGCTGGTTGTGATAAAAAACTGAAATATACTTCATTAAAACAAATATGACATGAATCACATTTAATTGTTAACAATTGTTTATTAGTCATTTTATGATTATTTTAGTCACGATATGGCTGAAATATTTCCGATGTGACTTTAAATCTTAACTCACTCACTCACTCACTATATGATTATTTAAATTAAAGTTTTTGAAATTTATGGAGATTTTCTGCTCTTTTGTGTCAAGAGCATTGTTTATGTTATGTTAGATTTAATTTAACATCCTTGTTTTGTTATTTGTTGTGTAATGCCACTCTCAGCAACATTCCAGCTATACTGGTGCCCTGAAGGTAATCTAACCTAGACCAGACAATCCAGTGATTGATATAATGAGCAACAGTCCATGCAGTCAGGGTACAATGACATTCACTCAACCAAGTCGCTGAGCCTCGACCACCTGATCCTAGTCTGTCTCATAGTCCCTGATATCCGCGAAGATCTGGGATAGAATTGATCTTAAGCAGCCCATGCTTGTCGTAAGAGGAGACTAATGGGATCGGTGGTCAGGCTTGCTGACTTGGTTGACACATGTCATCGTATCCCAATTGTGTAGATCATGCTGTTGATCACTGGATTGTCTGGTTCAGACTCGATTATTTACAGACTGTTGCCATATAGCTGGAATATTGCTGAGTGGTGCATTAAACAACTACCAAACCAAACCACAGTCTCTGAACCGCATCATTTGCCCCTAAATGAAGTAAGTCTAGATTTCCTCAGGTTCAGGACCTCCCATCTCACTGACTCTCCATTCAATTTAAAAGGAATTGTTAGTTTGTATCAAAATTCTATATCTTCAGAGACTTAGCAATAGTTTAACCTGATCCGTTTGTCACCATATACAACCAGCATCAGCTGCCAATTGCAAGGCTCAGTTCCAAGCAGGAGTTCCTATACGACTTTGATGATGTTTGATGAGGCAGTGTTTACGGTGCTTGCTCATCATCACTTATGGGGCGGTGGGGTAGCCTAGTGGTTAAAGCATTCGCTCGTCACGCCGAAGACCAAGGTTCGATTCCCCATATGGGTACAATGTTTGAAGCCCATTTCTGATGTCCCCCGCTGCGATATTACTGGAATATTGCTAAAAGCGGTGTAAAACAAAACTCACTCACTCATCAACACTTACACTGAAACTGATCTTCTGGATCGATGGATCCTAGGTTACATAATACCTCAGTACGTACATTGCACCCATTTCCCTCACTCATGTCAGGAAAACAGTAACCTGTCACAGTTATCTCCCTTTGTCCATTCTTGACAAGTACTTTGAAGTGACACTGTGAAGATTTATAACACATTGTGTCTGGTTTGTTTTATTTCCTGACAGGCATTTTAGATAATTTCCTTGATAAAAAGAATATGTCCAAAATGCGATGTCATCTGAGACTGAGAATGGGTGTTTTTTGTTTCTGATGAGACAGCTGTATTTAAAATAACACAATGAACTTCTCCCAGCTGTTTCCAACAGAATGTTTTGTATCCGTGTACCACAGTACCTGCTGTCCTGCATCTGGGTGGCAGTTGGGAGTGAGTGAGTGAGTGAGTGAGTGCATGAGTATGGTTTTACGCTGCTTTTAGCAATATTCCAGCAATATCTGGGACATCAGTAATGAGCTTCACACATTGTATCCATGTAGGGACTCAAACCCAGGTCTTTGGCATGACGAGCGAACGCTTTAACCACTAGGCTACCCAACCGCACAGGGTGGCAGTTGTATTACTTAACCCAAACATAGAAAACTGAAGTGGTCCTATTTGTTTTCACCTGGGGCAGTACAGTGGCCTAGTGGTTAAAGTGTTCGGCAGGAGGCCTGTGTTCGATTCCCCACTCGTTGATTAAAGTAAATTTCAAGCCTGGGATATTTGTAACTTTAATCAACTTGTGTTGATATATTTTATATCAGAAGACATTTGGGTGACATTCTCTATTATTGATCTTGTTTTGAACACATGGAACTGATAATATTTCAGTTCCTTATGTTATATTCTCTAACTCACTCAGATAATGAATAATACTGGCTGATGAATGAAAATATCATTACATTATTTAGTTTGAAATACAATGTTAGTCAGTGGAGCAGGTGATCATTAGTAATGTTTGGTTGGAAGTCAATAAACCCTGACAGTGGGGATTGTTGCTCATTACATTGATCACTGGATTGTCTTGTTATTTACAGGACACCTTCACATGGGTGGAATACAGCTGAGGGCTGTTGAACAAAAATTAAATAGAAGTGTTTTTATGTGATATTGTTAAGCTGAAAGAGGAAGTTGCTTGAGATTCCTCCATGATGCAGGAAGTACATGTGTACGTGTGATACCGTATTTGCCATATTAAGTGTGCTAATAATTAGGGTTGGGCATTGCCAAAATTTTCTTATTGCGATATATTGTGATATGTGTTGGCCTATTGCAATATGTATTTTGATATATTGTGAAAGTGTAACACATTATTTAAGTTCATGAAATTATTGTTTAATGCCACTGGCAGGAATCAGATGTGATTGTACAAGAGATCAATTGAAAATGTTTCGAAAATGAAGACTTTGCTCTAAAGTTTGGAACTTGAGAAAAAGCATCTGCAGTGGCGCCCACCATTTTGGTTTGTTTATCAATACAGCAAGTGCCGGTACCAACCTATTCTTATATTTATATGATTTAAAAGTCATGCAAATGCAATTATATGACCAATAAACATTCTCAAAACTATTAATGTATAATAATATAAAGGAAATGCAAATGTTATTAGTATTTTTCGAAAATTACCGATCATTGTTACGGAAATTGCTGATCGTATCGGGTGAACCAGTTCGTGAAAAGTGTACCAGTTATATCAGAAAAGTTGTACAATATAATATATCGTATTATCACCCAGTTCCTACCAATTGCAATATGACAGGTTTTACAACCAATCTCTTAGTGTTAAAAAGGCTGCCCCAATTATGAAAATTTCCAGGCCCTATTTTTTGTGTCAACAATTATTGTCACACAAAAAAATATATATAAGGTAATCATCAATCCAATCTCTTATCGTGTCACATTGTTACCGAATAAAGGTAGTTTTTCTTGTTAGTTCACATGAAGTGATATGGTGGGTCCAGCCTAGTTTGATGAAAGTTCACAAAGCAGGGGTGGTGGTAGCCTAGTGGTTAAAACATCACGCCGAAGACCCGGGTTCGAATCCCCACATGGGTACAATGTGTGAAGCCCATTTCTGGTGTCCCCCGCCATGATATTGCTGGAATATTGCTAAAAGCGGCGTAAAACCATACTCACTCACTCACTCACATAATCTGTCTACTTTCTACAGAATTTATTTGGTTCCTCAAAATTCTAAAAGTCAGTATTATCTAAAACTTTGTCTAATATAGCACTGTAATGTATAAAATAGTTACATAATATGTAAATGAGCACCATAATGTATAAAAGGGCACTATAATGTATATACTATTGATACAATGTGTATGATAGACAAATGCTTAGCCTCTGAATATGTATAATTTTAATAGTAACAATTAATCCCATTTAAATTAAAATGAGACCCAGTGAGATGGGAGACCTGTGGAAATCTAGACTTGCTTCATGTAGAGCTTTAACACTGCTGCTAGGGCTAGGCAGTAGAGGAAATAATGTGGTACAGGGACTGTGAGACAGACTGTGTGTATAATAACCATGTCATGTATGAAATAGCACTAAAATGTGTAAAATAGCCATGTAATATATAACCCCGACCTAACAGAGACTAAGCGTTAGTCTATGATGAACTGAAATATGCTCAAAGCAGGGTGGAAATAACAAAGCAGGGTGGAAAATTGCTAGTGTACACCGGTACAGTGGCACATGTAAAATCACTTGACCTGATAATTTTTCCTCTTTACCGGCCGATGTTCTTGTTGATTGTTTAAATAAACAACATAATTAACATTGGAAAGTCAACCTGGACATTGGTACAGCGTGATATACAAATTTGCTTGCCCGACTGGGAAAAAATGTTGCTGGAATAATGCTGTCAGCTTATTGAAAAGATCTCTCCTTCCAATTTATTCTGTAAAATTTAAACTCAGTCAGTCAGTCAGTATTGATGGCAGTTACTATTCCTGGTTTGAAATAGTAATAAAGGCAAGGTGTTGCAGGACATAATGTATTATAGTGTACATACTGTTGTATATTGCCA